GGAGGCTGTTTTCCCTACGGACCTATTAGCCAATTTATAGGGTAGAGCGAGCCAGTTGGCTTCCATGGAGCCCATCTTTTTAAACATTCTTAAACATGCAGGAGTTGTTCTTGCTATTGAAAGTTGCCTTCCTCTTTAAGTTAAAACTGTCAGATCTAGGCTTCCAGGACAGTTTTGGATGAAATTCAAAGTAGATGCTTGCCTTCTGAGCAAGATAAACTTCATGTCAGCATGTGTGAGTTTGATTTTGGTTTTATCCTACCTTTTCTGCTGCTGGTACACTTAACTCCAGTATGGTCAGTAATTGAGTAATCTGAAGTCATTTACCATGACTCTGTACCAAATCAATTCGTAGTAGTTTTGGGAGGAAATTGGAGGGTTTGGAATAAACCCTTCTGTTAGTGATAAACATAAATCCTTCTACTTCCAAATGTGCTTTTATCTGCCTCTCTGTTTTCTTGCACACACCAATTAAATACGTTTTTTCCCCTCATGTTCTGGTTTCAGAAGATTGACTCTGACTCCGGTAGTTTATGTGTGTTCTGTCTGTTTCTGACTGTTGTTATTATGGCTAACAAACTAGAAGGCTGTGCTGCCGTTCAGCGAGACCTGGACAGGCTGGAAAGTTGGGCTGAGACAGACCTGATGAAATTCAGCAAGGGCAAGTGTGATCCTGAACCTGGGGAGGAATAATTACATGCATAAGTACAGGTTTAGTAAAGGAGCTGCAAAAGAGCTCTGCAGAGAAGAACCTGGATGTTCTGGTTGATAACAGGTTGGCCATGAGCTGACAGTGTGCTCTTGTGGCCAAGAAGGCCAGTGGTATCACGTAGTGTGTTCAAAAGAGCACTGAAGGAAGTGATCCTCCACCTCTACTCTGTCTTGGTGAGGCCACATCTGGAGTTCTGTGTCCAGTTCTGGGATCCTTTGTTCAGGAAAGACAAGGAACTTCTGGAGAGAGTTCACCAAAGAGCCACAACAATGATGAGGGTCCTGGAGTATCTCCCTTCTGAGGAAGGGCTGAGAGACCTGGGACTGTTCAGACTGAAGAAGAGAAGGCTGAGAGGGGATCTATCAATGCTTATAAATATCTAATGAGGGGGAGTTAAGTGGATGATGCCAGGCTTTTTTCAGTGGTGCCCAGAAGCAGAAACAGAGGCAACGGGCAGAAAGTGGAGCATAGGAAATTTTATCTGAACATGAGGGTATTTTGAAAGTAACAGAGCACTGAAACAGTCTGGCCAGAGAGATCATGGAGTTTCCTTCTCTGGAGATAGTGAAAACCTGTCTGGATGCATTCCTTTGTCATCCACTCCAGGGAACCTGCTTCAGCAGCAGAGTTGAACTGCCTTTCCACAGGTCCCTTCCAACCATACAGTTCTTTGATTCATTTAGCACAGTGTGGCTTGTTGAGCTAAAGGGTGTCATACCTATGCAATTGTCCCTCTGTAGGTTGACAGAGATTTTGTTACAACAGTTTTGTGTTTGTTTTCTGTCTAAAAGATTGAAGCCATTTTGTTAAGTGTAATGTACTCTTTTTTTTTTTTTTCTTCTTTCACTCCTTGGTTACTATGGACCATTGCAGATATGCCAAGAACATTCTAGCATGACTTGAAAACTGTTATCTAGAGTGTGAGGAAGAGATATATTTTAAAGCCAAGCAAATTTTGGTAGATTACAAAAATCAGAGGAAAAATGACTTTATAGTCATATATTTTATTACTATGCTTATGAACTGTTTAGGATTGACATGGGCTCATAGTAGGCTACAACTCTTCTTTTCCTTCCTTTTGTTCCTCATTTTAGCTGGTAACAACCAGAGGGTAATTCAGTAGAAGTTATGGCATAGTACGTGACATTTAAAGAGAGAACAGTGATGTTGCAATTCTTTTACACTAGGGGCAATGGATCTATTACCAAAAATGCAAACACATCTGATTCCACGAAGATACATTTGTGGAGAAATTAAATGAAACATGGATTCATGGATGTGCTATGAGGAGGTAGTAGTTTGCTAATATAACAGTACCAGATTCATTGCCAAAATAAGCAAGGGGTTGCTCTACTGGTCCCAATACATTTATCACAGGTTGCCCCGTTGGTGACTTTGTCCTCTCTTCAGTAAGTGATTTTGGTAGTTAAATGCTGAAAAGTAGAGAAAGGAATAGTTGTTAGAGGCAATGGACTGTCATCTTAGCTGCCTTATCTGACCTAACCAAAAGGCCCTTGAAAGACACAGGAGAAGCAGCGAGGCACAACAGCGGGTGTAATGGGGCCAAGGAATTGCAGGAGAGTGCTCCAGGAGCTGTCCAAGATGTGAAGCATCAGACTGTGACTGAGGAACAGGGTGAATGAGTTGTGCTTGAAGTGACTGTATGTTGCACAGGTCTGGTTGTGAGCTTGAGAATTGGTGGTGGTCACACGTAACCACCTCTGCAACACGTCATTCAGGTTCCCTGGGCCTTATTGGACCAGCAGCCACACTACCAGCACCTCCAATGGAAATCGTAATTGAGCTTGACACTTAACTGTGTTTCTTAATCTTCATGGTGTTATTTAGGCCATCATTTGCTCTTCAGTAGACTGTGGATTTGGTGAGGATAGGAGCATGAAAAACCTTGCAGTGGGATCTCATGCTGCGTTGTATTTTGAGGGTGTGATATGTGCTTCCAAGCGTCTATAAGAGAAGCACAACAACCACAGTCAAACCTGTAGCGTTATGCCTTTTTTCTTAACTGTGAAATGGCATCTATTTTGTGTTAAGTGCATTGTTAGACATTGTTGGTAAAGATATCCTTTATCATACTGGAAGTAGCAGGTGGTCAGCTTCATGCCAAATTACTTTTTCTTCAGCCAAGCAAAGGAAAAAGGCGGGCAGCGCTTCCCCTGAAGGTATGGGGGCTGAGGAATTGAAACAGAAGAGATTTTGGTACAGAGGTGCAGGAGACAGAGGGGCAGCATAGGTATGAGGGTCTGAGCGGAGATTCTGTGAGGCACATAGCCTTTGCTGGATGCATTTCTTGTATCTTTTCCATACCAATCATTTACTAAGAGGCCAGCTTTCATAAACATCAAAGCTCTGTTTAATACAGAAATAAGCAAACGCTACAGCATGGAGAAAGTGTCAGGAAACCTGACACAGCCTGTATTCCCACCAACAGAATATGAGAGGAAAATAATTGCATTAAAACAAGGTTAGTCATAAGGCTGTATCAGTTTGGGTATTTTTACAGAATGAAACTTCTGATCTTTGATACTTATCTCTGTGGCTAGTTTGTCTCAAATTATGGGAGTGGGCAATTACATGTAGTAAGTTCCAGAAAAGAAGATGACTAAGAACAGTTGATGGAGAAGATACAGATTTCATATGAGATGTCTCTGCCTTTCCTCTTTTTTCAAAAGTATTTCTAGTCTCTTTTGTCCTAGGATGAATGTGTTGCAATAAGCATAGGTTGTAAATCTCTTTGCCTACCTCTAATGTGGGAGAAGGCATTTCCTTTAGGAAGGAATTTTGGGGGAGGGGAAAGGAGTAAGAAAATGCTTTCAAGTGTAAGTCACCGAGTGTCACATTAACCCTCCTGTTGTCATCATTGTATTTTAATATTTGCATTAATCTGTGCTTTTCTGGGTAAGGCAAAGCTTACCTAGAAGAGATCCCTAGGCAACTGTGGAGCAGTGCACTCCTGGGCTGGCACGTGTGTTGGCAGAACACTGAGAAGTATGACCTGTGTGCTGTGCAGCTTGGGCAGCCCTACACTGAGCCTGGTCACTCCATGGGGCCTTCCTAGGTTTTTTGGCAGGTTTGAGAATAGCTTTGGTGTCAGTAGTTCACGTTTGCACGTAACCTGCAGGTACATATAGCAGTAATGAAGCCTACTGCATATCCTCTCTCCTCTTTTCTGTTTCCTCATCATGACTCACATGGAAAGGACAGACATAATATGCAAACTGTATGTTGATTAGAGAAAGAAAGTGAGCAACTATGTTAGTATACTGTTATCATAAAATCATAGAATGGGTTGGATTGGAAGGAATCTCAAGGATCATCAGGTTCCGACCCCCTGCCACAGGCGTGGCTGCCAGTTGGTAGTGCTAGATCAGATTGCTCAGGGCTCCATCCAACCTGGCCTTGAACACCTGCAGGGATGGAGCATCCACAGCCTCACTGGGCAACCTGTTCCAGCACCTCACCACTCTCTCAGTAAAAAATTTCCCCTTACATCATTATGAAGTGTATAAAGGTGTCTGAAGTATATTATGAAGTGTAATAGAAGAAGATGAAGACTCTTTTCTGCTGGGGTCCATCTTACACAATTCAACGCCTGAATACTTTTCACAACACAGCCTGCTGAAGTGCTTTGCAGGGGATTTGAGAGCTTAAGTTGGGCTGTAATTAATGCTTCCCTTAACTCGAGAGCCACATACTACCATCACATATCTTCATAATTTCCACAAGAATCCATCATCTTTATACTCTGTCTTTACTTTCCTTTTATGCAATGATTCCCAACTTACCTTTTGAGGATGTACCTCTACTCATTTATTACCTTGAGAAGTCTAGAATAATTCAGTGATGAGACGAAATTAAAGCTGTCACTGATTTTCATGCCTGGTATAAAAAATTACACTGCTACTTAACAAAGAGTCCAGTGGATTTGGTGAGCTCATTGAAATGTCTGCTCTCCTTTTGCCAGTTCTGCTGCAAACATTTGGCTAACACTGAATCTGACAGTGAAAATTTTACTGGCACAAGCAGTGTCGTGCTCATGGTGATGCTCGATATGATTTGGCTCTGACCATACAGGTACAAACTTAAAATGACACCTTCGAAGACTTCTCACTCTCATCATGAAGCTAAAAGATGCGTGAATTAAATCATAAAAGATATTTTTCCTCTCAAAGGAAATTTTTAATGGACATCAAAGCGTGAATGTTTCAACTAAAGCAAATTGGTGCTATTTATCACTTACCTGTGCTTTTCTTTGTGCTTTATTTTTAGCTCATGGGACATTCTGAATGGGATCACAAACGAGGACCCAGAGGATCACAGGTCAGTTACATGATATTGTGTATTTCTTTTTGTAAGTCTGAGGTATTCAAGCAGATTTTCTAAGACTGATAAAATTGTTCATTTTATTAATACATGAAAGATTGAACCAGTAGAAAAAAGCATAAAACTGTCATAGCTTTGTCTACAGTAATTTCTGAACTCTAATCCAAGCAGCTGAACCAAGCAGAGCTGAGTATTACAGCAGAAAGAAGTTTATTTTAGTATCAGAAAGATGTATCACATGTGCTGAAAAAGCATTTCTTACCCTACTGTATTCATCAAAATAGCAACACAGAGGAATGCAATTTCAAATAACGTATGTTCTTTCAAAAAATCCTGACAAACTTGTAAAACTTGGATGGCCATCTCATCTTCTTCAATAATAAAGGGATTAGTGGTGTTAGAACTGTACGGGGAGGTGGAGGGAAACTATGTGTAGTTACTGGTTTGCTGTTGACTCATCGCTGAAAGGAAGTTATGCTATTACGGTTAATAGCATCACGCTGAAACTCTTTACAGTTATCTGTAGAATTAGAATTACTGCAAGGGAGATACTGCTACTAATACGATGCTCATGAATTTTCATGCTAGGGAAAAGCAGTATCTCCGTCTTTTACTGAAATTATATACATATGCTATTAGGGCTTCTGTATTTTAGATTTGTTTTTCTTTCAGATGAAAGATTTGTGAATATCTTAAGTCTAAATGGACAGTAAACAAGCCCTGCTGCTATGAAACTACCTGCTATTTGCAGCCTTAATTTCAGTAGGGTAGTTCTTGGGGTATCCTTCATATTCTACCTTGCAAAAATCACTGGAGAAGCAGCCTTTTTATTGACAAAATATTGTATGTGAATCTGAAAGCTGCTACTTGTTTTGTTAATATACATGGTTTGCTATTTCCAGTGCTGTCCTTTAACTTTCTTGCCCTAGTGATTGTAGAATTCTACTTTTTTTTTCCCTAAGATTTTTAATCTTCTGCCTCATATCTTACTTCAAATCCATCTTGAAATTTGCAGGATGTTTAGCATTTCATTATACAGTATAAGGTGGATTAAGATCTGATTTTTCTTGTAACAGCAAGCTAGTTTTCGATGGAAAGATAGAAATTTCAGAAAATTCTATCCAGTTGTTTGAGAACTTTCAAAACTGTTATGTCATGGTAACCCCTGAAAGTGTTTTCCTTCAAAACTGGAGAAAACTGGAGGAGGAAAATAAACATTTAACACAGGTAGGCAGTGATAGGACAAGAGAGAACAGTTTTAAACTGAAAGGGGAGATTTAGATTAGGGGGTGAATTTTTCAGTGAACGGGTGGTGAGGTGTTGGAACAGGTTGTCCAGAGAGGTTGTGACTGCCCTATCCCTGGAGGTATTCAAGGCCAGGTTGGATGGGGCCATGGGCAATCTGATCTAATGCCTGATTTAGTGGTTGACAACTCTGTCTTTGGCATGGAGGTTGAAACTAGGTAATCTTTGAGGTAGGTCTTTTCCTACCCAAGCCATTCTATAATTCTATGGTTCCATGAAAATCTGCGTAGGTATTCATCTTTAAGTACATAGTTTTGATCAAGTTATTTCTCAGTACTCTTACTTCATTTTTTCCATGTGTGGGTGCTTTCCAAATTTCTAGAAAGTATTATAAATCTTGGAAGAATGTTGTAAATCTGTCAATCAGTATATACCACAGAAATGTTACGGGATCTTGAATAAGATGAGGGGAAAAAAAAAAAGAATCCAAGCTCTCTAAGCAGCATGTGGTGTCCTAATGCCCTGTCACAGGAAATAACGAGAAGATTTTCAGTAGGGAAACAAAAAGAAGCTTATTTCATTGTACTATAGCCTCAGACTTACTTATATGACTGTGAAAACAGTCTTATGATAGCAAATGTTAAACATAATTTCTTTGAAGGTGAGAAAAAGTTGGGGACAATTTTTACATACAATATAAAAGATTGGAGGTTTAATCCTTTTGTGATTCAGTTGCATTGTTTCCAATTTCTATCCTTAGTAAACTTATCCGTTGTTAAACAAGGTCCTGTTTAAAAATTAAGGTGAGTAATTTTCTTTAGAGATGGACTGAAAATTGCATGTGGGAACTGCCCTATCATTGCTTGTGGGGTCTTCCTATGTCTGAGGGGTTTTCCTCCAGCAGAAAAATGGGACTTGGAAAGAGAGGTGTTTATTGGCCAGTGACTGGGCAAAGTAACAACAGGAGAAGAAAGGGGGTGTGGATTCTCTTGGTCTTCAGTGATCCTTTAAATCTTATGAGGAAAGTGGGAAGACAGATCTTAGGAAGCCACCTGGGTGTGTGTTAGCTATGTCACTTGAAAGGAAGTAGAACCACTGGGTTGCCATAATGTAAAATTAAAATTCACATATAAACTCATCAGATTATTCTACCTGGACTCATTAAGTAGAATTCTAATCCTGTCATGATTTGTTTTAGAACTAGTAGATTTTCTATGGTTTATGTTTGAAATGTGAAAAAGGAAAATATTCCAGTGCATGTCATAGTTCTTAATGAACCGTTTCAAAAATATGTTCATTTTTCTGCTTGTAGGAGTTAAAAGCAAACTGAAGAAGTTACAGGTAGCACTGGATATCAGATAGTCTTAATCTTTTAGGAATTTCTGTTTGCAGGAGTTTGTCTCCTGATAAGCATCTGTAATTCAGTAGAATGTATGGTACAAGTAAAAAAAAGTTTTACAGTGTTTAAGTTGCTCCTGACTTCCACACCAGTGCCTCGCTGAGTCCATTACAGATTGCTCACATAAGTACAGAGATCACTCTGAAAGTAGTGCATCCTGTTTATTTCCATGGAAACAGTTAGAAAGAGCACAATAGCACCATTTGGTAGAGCAAGTTCTCAGCTACAAAATACAATTTTCCAACGTAGTCACCACCATTAGCTATGCATTTTTTGCCAGTCATGAACAAGAGCCTTCATTTCATGCTCATAAAAATCTGCACCAGCAGAAGTGATCCACTGTTTCACAGCTTCTATGACAGTGTCATTGCTAGGAAAATGTTGCTCGCACAGTCCATTTTTCGCTGTCCTCAACAGACAGAAGTCAGAAGGCACCAAATCCAGACTATTCAGCGGGTGTGGTAGGACAGTCCAGCCAAAATTGGCATTGTGCTTCATGGTCTTCAAACTGGTGTGGGGCCTGGTGTTATCATGTTGCAAGAGAAAGATTCTTTTCTTCTTTGGCCTGACTGAAAGTTTGAGCCTTCAGCTTAGTCAGTGTCAGAGCTGATGGTTTGGTAAGATTTCCAGGAAATCCAGAATGATCAACCCTTTCCTATCCTAGAAGATAGTGAACATCACTTTACCCACCAAGGACTATGTCTTGAACTTTTTCTTTGATGGGGAATTCCCATGTTGCCTCTCCATGGACTGTCTTTTTGACTCCAGCTAGTAGTGGTTACTGATTAATGCTCCAATCTAGGAAACTGTCATCTTCAGCCTTGTATTGGTTGAAAACACACCACCTACCACCTCACTGTGCTCACATCCACTGTTTGGTCTCCATGAACATTCAGGAAGCATTGATGAATGTCACTGGCTTCCATTTTTCCTGCATGGTAGAACAGGTGCCACACCTTTGCTTCACAAGCATTTCCATGTCAGACAGTATTTTGTCAAACTGCCCCTCTGCTGTCATCTGTCAGACAGCAACAAGGTGTGACAGGATATTGGTTGGAAGGTTCAACCTCTACTACATCCACCTCTGACATCATGAGCCAATATACTAAAATAGGAGGTGTTACTTTCAGAACCCTTTTATAGTTGTAAGCACATGTGTTTTCAGTTAGAATAACTTTTCTTTAAAACTCTTGTTACTAGTGTGAATTGCATGTTGATTTAGAAAGAGTAAATGGCAGTACATACCTCTTCATTTATTCCTGCATTTTTTAATCTCTAGAAATAAGACTTCCTGCTATTAATTCTTCCTATGAAAAACTTACTGTCTAGCTGTGATATGCAGAAAGTGCAAAGTGGATTTTATTATGTTCTATGCTTGAATTTTAAGATTAAGACTGATTGAGATCACAATTAATACTTCAGAACTAGAATTCCAAGTTTGAAAAATTCCTAAGTGCTTAGGAATTTTTACCTCACCTAAGGAAATCCTTCTGTATATACATGTGGTCTGTAAAAACACATCATCTAACTTGTGCAAGGGGAAAATATCCATGTTTATTTCTAATGTCAGTACATGTAAAAAGGAAATGTGACTACTAGAATCAATTCTTGGCAATTAGGCAAACTGTATTTTAATTATTCAACGGTACTTCAAGTGGCATCCACAATACACTTTCTGCAGACATTTTCAAGGACCTTGAATGCATGGGAGTTGTTTGCTGCTCTGTCATCAAGCCTTGTTTGGCTTGCTGAAGATGTAGGCGTAGCCCCAGGATTCAGTGGAATCGAGTGATCGTTCTTCCAGCATCATAAAGGGACGGTGATCAGGAGAGAAACAGTGAGGTCCAGTGTTTTTAATTCTCTTTAAATATAAAAAGCTCTCAATTATATATCTGAGGTGCTGCGTTTTACCCCTCCAGTTCCTAAGCAACAGCTATTTTCAGATTGAGTGCGTCTGGTGTTGTCTACCTACTTCATGCTTCTGCGAGGTAATTCGTCAGTGAAAGCTAGGCTTTTCACTATCTCGCCTGATTCCCTTTGTCATGGCACTATAAGGAGACAGATGCTTTAAAGAAACGGAGGAAGCTTGGGCAAAACCGATCTGAACCCTGCAGCTTTCAAAACTTCTGTACGTCGGGGAGCTCTGCCATCTACAGCCATGAAGCAGAGGAGTCAGAAATAAGGTTCTCGGCACTGGTTTGGAAGAAGCCTTTTTCTTGAGTGTGAAAAGCCTCTAGAGCAGATTCAAAACCATGAGCCGGAAATCTCTGTACTTGCTGAAGCGTAGATGGGAGTCGATTCCCGCTACTGACCAGGTACTGTGTTCTGGTGAATCTGTTGTGTCACTGTGCTC